TAAATGTTTAAGATATAAGTAACTACATCTTAAATTCCCTGCATTTCAAAACTCCTACTTCATGGGGGGGGTGGAACAAAAGAAAACTAGAATCAGTGGTTATTTTCCTACCTAATTATATCAGGTGAGGGAATACTACATGATTTATTCTCTGTAATCCTATTTAAAATACCCCAGATTTTTTCTTATGCAGCAACATTTCTTTTTCTTTTCTTTTCTTTTCCTTTTTTTTTTTTTTAACAAGACAGGGTTTCTCTGTATTGTTTTGGAGCAACATTTCTTTAAATATCAGAAACAAAAACCAAAAAAAATCTAAGTTAAAAATAAAAAAGAAGATAGTTATATGGAAGTAATGGGAATTAGAATCTAAAGATCAATTCACAGGAATTAACAACTCAAATTCTTACAGAGTTGTTAGGAACTAGAATGGGCTGCTTGTAAAAGAGAAAGCTAGCAGGTTTATGGAGGAGGGAGAAAATACAATTTTCCTCAATTTATCTCTACAAGCAATCGATGGTTTTTCTTAAAACACTATACCTTGCCTGCTATGGAAAAGGTAGGAGGACTCCAATGATTCTCTGATTTTCTTATTTAAAGATAAACTAATGGGGGAGGGGTACTAAGGAGCTGGCTTGAGGTAAGAGCACTTGTTGCTTATGCAAAAGACGAAGGTTCCATTCTTGAACCTACATGGTGGCATCAGTTCCAGCTTCAGGGTGTCAGACAACCTCTTCTGAGCATTGTGCACAGAGTTGCATGCAGGCAAACACTCATACACATAAAATATAAATCTTTAAAAAATAAATAGAAACTTGACCTTTTCTATCTTATGCTTACATTTTAATACATATGAAACTTTCTTTTGAGGTGAGTTATTGCTATTGCTATGTTGTCCATGATGCTCTTGAATCACAGACTGTAAGAAGACACTTCCTTACCCCTGCTACCTTACCAGTCTACCTTAGAGGCTAGGACTACTGGTATGCACCACCATGCCCAGGCACTTAATCCTTTTTTTAAAAAGAAATCACATGAAAAAGGCATTGTCTTAACTATTTTTTTATTGCTGTGATAAAACGCATACCCAAAAGCAACTTGTGAAGGGAAGGCTTTATTTTATCTTACATACATCTTGTAGCCCATCATCTAGGGAAGTGAAGGCAGAAACTGATGCAGAAGCCATGAAGGAGTGCTGCTCTTTGTGACTTGCTCAGCCTGCTTTCTTGTAGCACCCAGGACCACCAGTCCAGAGGTGGCACCACCTCTAGTCAGACCTTCTCAAGTCAATCATCAATCAAGAAAACATTCCTCAGAATGGTCTGGTGAGAACATTTTCTCAATAGAGGTGCCCTCTTCTAAAAGGACTCTAACTTGTGTCAAGCTGACATAAAACTAGCCAGCAAAAGCAATAACATATCCACTGAGATATATGCATGGTTCAAATAATGATCCCACTACTTGAGTGACTTTAAATAGTAATTAGTGCAAACACCATATAGAGATATTTTTCTTTCATTACAAGGTACCAAGTTAAGTGTACTAAGAAAAAAAATCAAAGTTTTTGATGGATTAACTTAAAACTATAATACTAACCAAACAGAGGGGGGGGGGGGAGGAAGGAGGGAGGGAAGGAGGATACATGTGTCAAACAGCAACAATTAACAAAATTACCAAGATATTTTAGAGGGCATAATTTGGAGTAGAAATTAATTAGGGCTCACTTGAACTTGCTTTATATTCTCACTCATTAATAACATCAGAATTCATTGATTGATGATTATAGAAACAAGAATATATCTATCTATTTTCTAACTTATAATCTGCCAAGAAGCTACTATTGTTATGTATCAGAGTAGAATAATAAATTCTATTAAGCCATACACATTTCAGAACTGCACACAAGTTGATACTTAATAGTGCTCAATTTTCTGTTTCTAACTTTTTTAGTGAGGTACTGCAAAACAGGTTTGTCTATGAGCAATTCAGCTGCTTAAGGCTATAACAATTCAGTATTCCACTTAGTGAAACATAAATTTTCTTTCCCTGAATATACAACAATTCCTCATTATACAAAAGAAACAACAGAAGACTAGCAAATAAATAATATTGTAATATTTATAACCATTATACTACTTGAAATAAAGTTGTTAATATTTAAAATTATAAAGCAAAATTAGCACTGAACAAAACATTCATTTTGGAAAATATTTTAAAGGAATCAAATTTTCCATTATAATTATTTCATTTTCCTCAGTAGTTACTTATTTTTCTTAATCCTAAAATAAAGTTGTTGGTTTTTGAAAGATTTATTTTTATTTAATGGTTATGGCAATTCCACCTGTATGTATGTCTGTGCGTTTACATGCACGCAATGTCCATGGAATCCAGAAGAGGGCGACGGATGCCCTGGAACTGGAGTTTGTAAGTATTTACTAACAACCACTCAGGTTTTTGCCATCCTGTGGATTTGAATCCAGGGCTCTGTGCATGGCAGGCAAGCATTCTACCAACTGAACTACATTACTAGCTCTAAAATAACTTTACCCGAAGAAGAAAATCAGTCATAGGCAAATAATCAGAACTGCACAGCAATGACCCAGCAGTGTATACCACTGTGCCCATGACAGTCCTGCCTGAGCTCAGGTTATTCTTTGCTCAGAATGTCACACTGACAGATCCCTCACAGCTTGTTCTTTCTTGTCTGCTTATTACATAATTGCATCTTTCTCACATCTAAATATTAGGGAATGGGGAGGATCTGAGAAAATTCCTTTAGTCCAACAATCTCATTTATTATTAAACTTATACAATTTATGGTATCTGAAGATTAAACCATCTTGCTAATAATTGAAAAATATGTGACAAATATTTCAAACTCCATTTTAATAAATAACAGAATTCATATTGCAAAGAAAAATAATAAGGCAATCCTTATTTACTATTGTAACCTTGTTAATAAAAGAATGTTTTAAGTATTGTTTAAAACACAAAAATAAAAAAGTAATGTCTGACTCATACCTGAATGTCGTAACTGGTTATGGGATATCTTTAACTACAAATAACTATTCCTGGGGGAAAGGTCTTCATATATTGTGGACTTTTCTATAATCAAAAACATCTAAGTCTAACCCAAAAACTAAGTTTCAAATACCTTTAAGCAGGAAAATATGCTGTCTCTTAAGCCTAATTCTGAATGAATAAATTTAGTTTCAGTTGGAATTGGTTAGATTTAAGTCATGGTGATAATAAATATGAGAGCAGAAAGTTAATCAAACAGCAGCTCAAACATTCTCAGTACTTCCTATGTAAAGAAGCCATGCTGAGGACACAGTCTACAAGATCTATTTAGTCCTCCATTTTGTAACAGAAGAAACCAGTCTCTGATTTTTTTCAATGAGAAAACTGAAGTCTTGAAATATTCAATATGGATCCAAAAACATAGGGCTAAGATTTTAGCCCAGGTTTCCTACATTAGTGAGGTTCACAGCCCTTCAACACCACATAGCTGTAGAAACAACTATTCACATAATAGAATTCCTAGGTGATAGAATCAGAGTATAATTTCTGACTCACTTATAATCAAACCAGGTAAGAACTACAAAATACAATGCCATGATAGGATACATGTATTATGCCACCCCAGTCTTAAAAGATTGAAAGAACAGTCTTGAACTATCATCTTATTATGTAAATACATATTAAAATATACCAAAAAGAAGTAAATTGCAGAGTCCAGAATGTTCCTCACTCAGTACCTTTCACTTTGTGACAAACGATTTTGATATATTTTTATAATTCTTTGGTAATTTTATATAACATATTTTAATCATACTCATATTCCCAATCCTCTGCAACTCTTCCCAGACCCATACATCCACAAATAACTGCAGCTATCACATTTCATCAAAATGTTTCTTTTTGCTGCAGATGGATAACACTATAGAGTCACAACTAGTCAAAATACAGAGAACAACTAACTGTGAGGGGCCTCTAACTGAGCCATATACAACACAATCCCTACAAGGAAGACTCAGAAGACATTGCAGGAGAGGGAGCAAAAGATTTTAAGAGCCAGAGGACCAGGATGTCTGCTGCAAGATAGTATCTTTTTTATTAAAATAAAGTCTTTTTCGCCCTTCCTCTTCAAAAGATTCTTTTTTTCAAGAAAAGTTCAAAGAGCTTTGACAATGCTTTTCTAGAAAAATCTACTATAAATGATAAAAAATTAAAGAGAGCTACCATGCCCCAGAGTTTCAGTTTGATTACAACATATGCTGGTAAGGTTGGGCTTAATAGGATGAGGTTTTAATAAAAAAGAAGTGTAAGAGATCAAAGAAAATGATACTCCATTGGAAAAAATTTAAGCAAAAGACAGCACTGAAAAAAATAATGATGCTCAGAAAAACTGAAGGAAAAAGCACAGTAGGAGACTTGTCTAAACAGCAATACAGATTGTTATTCAGCCTTTTGGCTAAGCCAGGTGTAGACAACTGTGTGATACACTGGTGGAGGACACACATAGGCTTTGACATCAGGCCAGAGGAGTGTGCAGAAGGATCCATAATGGGAAGAGTGATCTCAAGGGAATCACTTTTCCTCAGCTCTAGACAGGAAGTAACTATGATATGAGCATGGGCTATACAGAGGATTAAATATTATAATACACATAAAACTTAACACTGTGCCTGGTACAAAACTATTCAACATTATAAGGAAATTTTGGAGAGGCAAATGCTCTAGGAATTCTGTCTAGACCTTTAAATTCCTATATTTTTTATTATGTATGTATATCTGTATGCACTATATGTGCAGATAAGTGTGGGTGCCTACAGAGAACTGAAGAGGGTATTGGATCTACCAAAGGGGGAGTTACAGATGGTTGTAAGCAGTCCCATTGGGTGCTGGGAATGGAAGTCAAGCCTCTGTAAGAATGGTAAGAGTTCTTCTTTTGAACCCCTCTAATTACGTTAAATTAAACAAACCAAAAATGGATTTCTGAATAATTTTTATAATATTGGAGAATTTATTTAGCATATTTGAAAAGTTAGAAATACTGTTGAAAAAGGTACACTTCAATTAATCTAAGATACCACTAGCAAACAGGAAACAAGAATCCACAGAAATCCAAGTTGCGGAAGTATAGAACAATTTGATTCTAATCCCCCAACAAGTAACTCTGCTCCTGGTGGTTTAGTAAACTCATACAAAGTCTGGTTTTGATATATAGAATACTATTTTATTCTTTATTTTAAACCTTTCTTACATATTTAAAAAATATACAGGGGTTAAGAACAACCTCAATAAAGTGATAACATTTCTTTAATAGACTTCTGAAGTCAAAACACCAGTGTGCAGACAAGGTTAGCTTCTAAGTTAGAGTCATAGGCACGCTTCATCAAATGCTTTTTTAAAAAAAAACAAACAAATAAGAAGTCTTAAGTGCTAAGAAGAAAAATCCTCAGCAGTGTAATAGAAATTTTCAATCCTCATTCAAAAACAGACCTGTATGAAACAAAATATCAACATCTCTAAAGTGTTGTTATGAATATACTGCATCACCAGCAGCACTAAGAATGCAGCTTCCTCTAATATAAATATCTATGTAACAACTGCACGAAAGTATTTTCCTTTTAAAATAAGTTCATACATATGGTTCCATTGTTGACAACTTAAACAACATCAATATATGTATTGTGCTAAGAAAACATTAGGCACAAGCCACATAATATAATTTTTCTGTAAAAAGTATAGAATATGAAAATACATATCACACAAATGAGTAATGGACAGGACAGTAAGCTGCTGCAGACCTAACACACAATTCCAGTGTTTGACTTTTCCTAGGGGGCATTATGAGTAACACAAAGAGTGATACTACTTCATTACTGGTGAGTATTCTGTATCTGTGTCAGGATGATTGTGGACTTTATAGAAAAAAAGAAAAAAGCTTTACTATAGCAAAAAGGACTTTAGACACATGAACTAGCTTCAAAGAAAGCAGTTTAAAAATGCTTCCAAAATCCATTAAAATATTGAACACAACCTCCCAGCTACCAGACTGCTTTGTTAGAAAGAATACCTTGTTTAACATCTAGATTCCCTTATATAGAGGATTTTTTTTTCATCAGCTAAGACACTTCCAGAGTGTGTTCCACAGGAATGAGATGGAGAACAATTGAAAAGGCATGGGCTGGGGAAAGGGAGGAGAAACCAAAAGTCCTTTTACATAAGAGAAAAGTAAGTATCTGTGCTGTGGAGATGACAAGAGCATAAACACAGGGGTCATATGAAAAATAATAAAATGTAACATTTACTGTGTACCCTCCCTAAAGACACACAATTGATGTAGATTGACCTCATATGTACCTGTACTTTTCATAAAGGGCAGTTTAGCAAGTAATAAACTCCCACAAGTACAAAGAGTAAAAGCACAGAATAAGGCTAAATAAAAGACAGAGACATAGGCAGAGAGGACACAGAAAGAGAGACGCCAAGGAGCGCGCATGATTTGTAGATTTTAAGTTCCTCTTCAATCCTCAGTGATGAGGCTAAAACACTAAACACATATTCACAAGCTGTAATTCTCTTATGAGATTATTCTCCATACATCCTTTCCTTTTGCTTTTTTTCTTGCACAAAAAGAAAATAAAAGAGACCTTTAATCTCATTCTTCACTTCATAGTCAACTATTCACATAAATATTTCTCTAGGGCAAATTTCCAAATGAATCAAGAATACAATCCAAAACCACTGTCACATTACATTTGATTTACTGTGCAGTTCTCTTCAAATGGAACAGGAATTTGCCCGTCTCCTGGGTTTTGGATCTCGTGCTTCCTGATCCTTCACACACACACAAGATGTGCACATTGTTTCAGAAAGTCTTCGGAGGCCAAGGCGGAAAACACTGTTGGAGAGGCTGTATATTACACAGTTACAAAAACTATTGCTTATAGCAAGCCAGGTGGTTAAGAAGGACAGTGTTGGATTGTCCAAGACACGAGAACTTTCTAGAAGAAAGTAAATAATATACGGAAGCCATAGCATGTAAAATACACTGGTTATCCTAAATAAAACCATGGCATAGCGACGATCAGGGCTGTGTCCTGTCTCTCTAGAGGCATCTACCTCATGGCTAGGGAATCGAGCCCTCCGGTCATTTATCTCTTTGGTGTGCTGCCGGCAAATTTTGAAAATGTGAAAGTAAGTGAAGCAGACAACCAAGGCAGCAGGAGCATAGAGTAAACAAACAATAAAGCACGTAAAATAGGCACTGGTGAGCCAAGACGTGGCACACCATTCAAAAATGTCACCGTGGTAACCAGGTTTGCCCCAGCCAAAAAAGGAAGGCAAAAAAATTAGGCAAGAGTAAATCCAAATCATAATAATGCAAATTCTCAGGCGACAAGGGGTGACCAGTTGATTGTAGGAAAGAGGCTTGGTTATTGCAAGATAGCGATCCACACTGATGCAAGCAAGACAGGCCATAGAAACACTTTTTAAAACTGAAATAATATATCCAAACACCTGGCAAGTCAATGATTCGTGGACACCTGTAGAGTAATGGAGAAGGGACAGAGTAGGAACCAAGCAGGTAACTCCAACGAAGAGGTCAGCATATGCCATTGTCTGTATGAAGTAGCTGGTAGTATAATGGTGTAACAGTGGAGCACAATGAAAGACAAAGATGACTGTTAAATTCCCAGCGATGATTAGAAATGTCAGCAAGACAATAACAACTGTCTCAAAGATGCAGACATCTTCCACACTGTAGTGACCAAATCCAAGTGGGCAGGAGTGATGCTCGGACACATTCACAATGCTACTGCTCATGTTCAGGATCCTCCATTCAGTCCACCTGGATTCATTCATGGCTTGGAATTAAGGGAATTTGTAGCTTTGGCGCCAGTAAGCAGGTGCCCGTGCCAGCATCTGTTAAACTCTGCAAATCAGTGTCTCAGAACCTGCTTCAGTAGAAAGTGCCAGTGCCTGTATTACAGCTGAGCATCCAAGTGTGCTCAGGTCTCTTCATCAGCCTTAGTTCACCAGTGATACATCTCAGCTTTGGGGAATAGAGGAGGAGGAGGGTGAGCTAGAAAGGTGAAAAGAGGTCTCTGGTTAGCTCCCTCCGGTGCTTTCAAGCAACTTTTGTAGACACAGGCACTTCTAGAGAAAATGGGTTTATTAGCCAATACTATGAAAAATTAAATCTGTAAAAAAAATTGTCAAGGGAAGAAATGTTTCTCTCGAGATAGTTTCTTTTAGATCAACTAGAAAGAAAAGTAAAAGAAACCATCTTAAACTGTCTGAGGTCTCCTGCTTCACCTATGATGAACTATGATGAAAAATGCATTCATATTTTAGAATTTAAAAATTAAGATCTTAGTTTTAGATAAAGCCAAGAAAGTGTTCATGTGACAAAGAGTGTCCTTGGCCTGAGTTCACATCTGAGGCTGATGGGAAAACTTTAGGACCCATTGTTTAAAAGGTAAGAACAATAATTCTAACAAGACTAATTCCAAAAGAATAACTTGTATGAGCACAATGAGGTAAGTGGAGTGAAAATCAGGCTCCAGATTGCTATATAATGCTTATAAGAATAAAAGGCAATTTCAAATATGGAATACATTACACAATGAATTCATGTAACAACCCCTAAAACTAAAAAATAGAATAAACGTCTGAAGTTCTAATTTTCTATTCATTCTTTAAACGTTTTTTTGAAAACAGCTGTAGACCACCTCAGTTGCTGACACTGCTTATTATTTCAAAATAAGACCTTTGTTATAACTTTAGCTTCTGAAACTGAAAATAACTTTAATTATTTGATACAATATCTCCTTATAAAGAAGTGTAATAAATACATAGCTTGAAGTAACTCCTCACATTTGCAACAATTCCCAAATCTCATAAATATAGATGAAATTTAGACAGTGATGAAAATGTCCCTGTACACTGAGCACATTACACTAGAGATGCTGCTGGGATCTGTTACTTCATATTCCAATTTGTTACAGTTTTCCTATTGCCATTAGATGATTAATATATTAAATCATTACTTCAACTAAATATTTGAAAGTGGAAATTTACCTTGTTTATTTTATATGCAGTTATTAGCAGCCATATGCTAAGAAATGCCTCTTCTGTTTCTGTATTCTATTTTAAGCAAAAGCTCAATTAAAGCAGGGCCATCAGGTAGGCTGAGAAATAGACTTGTTTTAAAATATCTCAAAATATCAAGATGGGTTTAAATCCTGGACTTTGACATACTGCAATTCTGGCAGGGCAGAATCCATCCAAAAGGCTTCCAAGGTCATTCTGTCACCGGGTTAATATTTGCCAAAGTCTTTTTCCCAAGTACAAGCAATTCAGGGAGTCTCTTGTCACTCTTTGTTGTCATAGCTTTTGAAGAAATAGCATGTACTAGAAATGAAAACATTTCCTTCAGGAACAATGTAGCAGGTTAATAGAAAGCATTCTTCTCAAAGTTATTTTCTCATGCAGCAACATATCATTCAGGGAAGTCCTTCTTTTATGTCAGCCACAGGATATTCCTCGTTGGACATGCTGAGTTTCACTTATCACAAAATAGTTATCTTGTTACAGGAATAAGGTAATGCTTCTCACTCACAGTCACTCTTATCAGCTGTGAAGCTGGGCTGCTTGATTCAGGAGTCCGATTTTCTGTGATGCAGTTATCAGGATGCTGCCGGGAGATTCTTTACAGTTTCCCAGTCTCACTGCCTCCACCTGAGCCAGCGTCTGCTCCTCCTCCTCCTCATCCCGAGCTGATGCAGAAGAACTCACCATCAGAAAGGTGACTCGGTCCTCCTGCCCCAATCAACAGCACAGCCAATGGCTACTGCAGCTGAAACTGTCACTAGGTAACAGTTGCCAGGCACATGCAGGCTTATAGACTTACTCTGCAAGCTCCGATCAAGATTGACAAAAGAAGACAATGGAATTGACCAATCCTTATAATATGTAAATCGCATTTAAGGGCTCCTGGAGGCATTCTCCTTACAGCATTTGTAGAAATATTTCTTACGAATACTACTAAGAAAACAAAACTGGCATATACCTTTAAACCTTGTAAAGAAAGTACCACACTGTACTATGACACTAAAAAGTCGGCAGTAATCTAATACTCTTTGGCTGAAAAAACTTATGAATTATTAAAAATTATTTAAATCCTCATGAACCAAACTGATATAACTATTGGTTTTTTTACTATAAACAGTCATATTTTGATTAGAAATTAAAAGTCATTTACTCATCTCTCCAATATCTGCCACACCCACATGAATGTGCTGAGCTTGGCACACTGACCTGCACAACAAAACACCAGGAAAGGGTCATGACAGTGAAACCTGTCTGGAGAAATACCAGGGTCAATTATGATCTAAGAGGACAGGGGGCATCAGAATAAATAGAAGCACTAGTCCACGGTTATCCTTCTATACCAAATATGTCAAGAGCTAAAGAAATTCATTCCACAGTGCTCAAGTTACATATATTTAAGTTAGTAGAAGCAAAATAAATATTTGCTCAAGTATTTGGTGTATATTAAAATATTTTTATTTAGGTTTACTTACTGTATGCAGTCATTCATTTTTTTAAAGCTAATTCTCATGGTTAATTACATTTTAAAAAATACCAGAACAGCATTTACAATTGTTACAGGATTAAAGAAAATCAGGAAAGCAAAGATGCCAATGGAAGATAAAACTTATTGAAAGCATGCCAAAAATTGCACTATGTACTTTTATACTTTTTTCTTCATAAAATTCTTCAATCTCGCCGGGCGGTGGTGGCACATGCCTTTAATTCCAGCACTGGGGAGGCAGAGGCAGGCGGATCTCTGTGAGTTTGAGGCCAGGCTGGACCGATAGCCTCCAAAACAATACAGAGAAACCCTGTCTCTTAAAGACCAAAAAAAAAAAAAAATCTTCAATCTCAGGCCTGAGATTGCTCAGCAGATAAAAGGCACTTGTCAACAACAACCCTGACAATACAATTTTGATTCACACCCATGACACTGTGGAAGGACAGAACAGACGCCCACAGGTTTTCCTGTGTCACCCGCACGCGCACCCTAGCACAAGTATGCTGTATGCACTGCGATATAATCCCCTCCCCATCCCTTCCTTCCCTGCCTATCTCTCCTTCTTGCTCCTTTGCCTCCCTCTCCATTTCTTTCTCTCCCTCTTCCAGTAAATAAATATATGTAATAAAATATTGTTAAAGGCTAAATCTCTATGTAATCCGTATAGTAACTAACTCCTAAGTGAACAAAGTGGGGACTACAGAAGGGAAAAATGGTTTGACTTCAACCAGAGTTAAGAAACTGGAAGTAGAAATGGTCAAAATTGTCATTCCTAACACTACCACTAGATCACATCCTCTCCTTTCTTCTAACAGCTGCCATTAGAAAAGTTTCATCAGGTTTTATAAAAGTGGCTTATAAAGTGTAAAAAGCCTATTCTGTCCCCCATATTAAACTGGGGTTTTTTTTTAGAATATTGCATTTTTAAATTTCATGGGTGGGCTCAAATATAGAAAGATAAGTTCACTTCCCAACAGAAATATTTATTAGGCAAATTAGAATAGTAAATCTTAGAATGAATATATTCAGTTTTGCAAAGTAAATATTTATGTATATTGAAAAAGTTACAGTGTATTCTTTTACAGAGAAACATTGTACTTAACACTGAAACCTAAAACCTTTTAATTAAAGTAAGATAAGAACAAGACAGGGTTTCCCCGTGTAGCCCTGACTGTCCTGGATTCGCACTGTATACCAGACTGAACTGGCCTCAAACCCAGAGAACTACCTGCATCTGCTTTCCCTGATGGTATTAAAGGCATGCACCATCATACCGGGCAATATAATAGTCTTAAATATAACAATAAATATTCAAAATAAAATTATATTTGATAAATATTCATGGATGTACACATGTTATACAGTCCAGACTAAGAAAAGTAAAATGCTAAGCTTACTACAAAACAATTTTAAAAAGTCAAGTGCTAGGACCTGGAGAGATGCCTCAGCAGTTAAAAGAGCTTATTGCTCCTGCAGAGGACCCACCCGGCTTTGGTTCCCAACACCCAGATAGCAGTTCACAACCACCACACACTCAATCCCCAGTCCTGGGAGATTTGATGCCATCCTTTGATCTGGGCAGGCTCCTGCACACAAAAGTGCACACTACATACACTAAAGCGCACAGACATATACACAGATTTAAATTGGTAAATCTAAAAAGAGTTTTTAAAAATCAAGTGCTATTAATCACTATTACTACTCAAGTTACCAAAATTTAATCATTTAAAAATAGACACATTTTAAAATAGTTTTGAATTATAGTGCCCCTAAAAATAAGGAAATGGTGAGCAAATGCACACACATATAAAAACTGACCTCATTCAGAGGAATTCAAGCACTAGATTTCTTTAGTTTCATAGATTTCCAAAACAAAACACTAGGAAGGATTTTAATCTAAAAGTATTACAAACAATTCCAAGATAAAAGGTCATAGTGGAAAAGAGAATTTAGGAAGCAGCACTTTTCACCCATTAAGTCTCCATCCTTCCTTCCACTATCATACAAAAGAAAAGCACCAAAAGTTCAAACAAAGCATAGTTCCCTTTATAATACCTGACTCTTCTGGTCCCTGAGTTTCTTTGTATCAGTTTTTCTGGTGTGGTAATTACAGGAAATAATTTAGAATGTGGAAATTCAATAACAAAAGAGCAGGTACATACACGTACATAGTTCATCACCTATAACATTCTTTCTTTTTAATTCAAGAATAATTCTTGATTTAGCTCTCTTTGCCTTGTACTTGTAGATCAAGATATAAGCTTTCAGTTACTGACCTATTACCATGTCCGCCTACCTGCTATCATGCTCCCCAACATGATCATCATGGACTCAAATCTCTGAAACTATGCCCCCCCCCAATTCTTTCTTCTATAATTTGCCTTGGTCATAGTGTCTTATCACAGCAGGAGAAATGCAACAGTAAAGGCAAGACATTAACTCTTAATGTCAAATAGGGTAAATAACAGACAATGATTGCCAAAGAACCACACAAGTAGAATACTAACATTATAGAACATTGAAGAAGCTCAATTAAATGTCATCTCTTAAGGTATTTTAAAAAGAAAGCAAAAGATGTTTGCATTCAGACTTTAGTTCCTCAACCACCCCATTTCTCTGTATCCACTGTCATGACCCGAGGAAAGTCAGTATTGCTTTCTATTTAGATGATGGCAGTGGCTCCAATCTGGTCTATATTGATCATGGCTTCTCTTCAATCTATCATGCACAAAATGAGTATCTTTTCCAAAATTCAAAACAAATCGTGTCACTTCCTTCCTTAAAATACTTGCGTTTTACTGTGCATTTTATGAAAGGTCTTATAAGGGGAGCAAATATTTGCTTTGCTTACCGTCATATCTAAAGTGCTGATATTATACTGCTGGGCAATGAATAGGAGTTTCACAAATAAACGTCTAACACAATTATTTTTATGTAAGACAAATAGTACAAAAGAAAAATACAGTTTCTGTAAGATTAAAATAAACAAAATTCTTTACAATTCCCTGTACAACAAAAACTTCCAAGAAGAAGAAATATGACCAAATTGCAACAGAAAAATAGACTTCTTCATATATTCAAATATTATTTATTAATTTATATACCTATTTAAATTCAATTCTGTCAATGTTTGAAAAAAATCTTTAAAACTTGATTTTTTAGGCCTGGGAAATAAAGGAGGTTGATGTGTTCTTAAAGAACAATAGTAGTGATGTAAGAATGATAGAACCGTTTTGTGTTTTGATTGGTGCAGTTGCTACCATTGTGGGTGTGATGTAGTTCTATGATGTGTCATCATCAGGGAAATAGAGAAAAGGATGCTTGTAAGCCTACCTGCTATTACTGACATATACATGACACCACAACAATCACCAAGTCAAAGAATAATTAAATGTAAAATGATAAAACTACAACTAAAAACTTGAATTTAAGGGTTTAGATTCTAAGAACTAGAGACAATGTTCAGTGGTTAACAGGACTTAAGACTTTTGCAGGCAACTGGAGTTTCATTCCCAGCATCCAGGTGGCTTCTCAGAACCATCTGTAACCCCAGTTCTAGAGAATCTGACATCCTCCTCTGTTCTCCATAGCACCAGGCATACATATACATA